TCTATATCGCCCTCAGATTGGACAACTTTAGCTACTCATTCGATAGATACTCCATTGGTTTCTGTTGTATAGTTTATATTTATATATCGAAGATCTAATGTATTCACATGAAGCAATTTACAAAGTAACGTATTTAATTTATATCGATGGTGAATTTGAGTACTCTATTATTATTCATTCATACTATTCAACTGTTTATAATTACAACTTGTATAATCAATATAAGAAATCAAATATCTGTATTCTAATGCCGTTATAAATATTAAACATTTACAACATTAGAATTTTGTAGAATTCTAACGTTGTTCTTCGAAAATAAACGCTCTTTAGTACTAATAAACTAGCACATTAGATATCGATCTGAATTCATTCTTCAAGCGCCCTAAATAAAATAGTCAAAGTCATATTTTTTCTTAAATGTGTAGCTGAGAAAAAATTAGACATTATAACTGATATTCTGCATCAAACAAAATCAGCATGTTGGTTAGTAATACAGTTGTACTCATATGAATATAACAGTCATATTGCAATTCAGTTGCTGACTAATCTGATACCATAATTGATTCATAACTACGTTAGTTTTACTATGGCTTCTAACAGTAATGATAATCATCGTGTTACAAGTAGAAATGTATCAAGCCAATTTTTGATTCCAACAACATCAAATACACCACCATCTTATACATCATATTCATCTACATTTATAAATGATAGTCCACGACGAAGTCATCGTTTATCATCAAGATCGCCTCAAGTTACTCCAAAATTATCGAATCAATCAATTATTCATCGAGTTGTTTCTGGTGGTGTGACGAATAGTCGCTCACCATAAATGAATATTCGAAAAAAAAGTTCTACAAGTAGTCGACATGATGATTATTCAAATATTGCTTCAAGAATTATATTGAACGATGATGTTAATATGTCCAATTCAAATGATAATAGTATTGTTTGGGATTTCAATCTACCAGCTGATCAATCAGATGATGAAGAAGTTGGACTTAGTAACAATACTAATACAATTGTTTCACCAACAGCACCACGACCATTAACTCGAGCAGAAGTTTTATCATATTTCGAACAACAATCTAATGGATATAAATGTAAACTTTGTGAAAAAGTAAATATATCAGTGCTGTCACATTTTGAAATTCGAAAAGCAGAAAATACTTTGCAAAAAGCAGAAAATAACAGAAGTTTTATCATCGAAAAACAGAAAAACAGCAAAAAATATGTTTATGATAGGAAGATAACAGGTAGCTCGTAATAAAAGAGAATCCCAGTATTTTGTTAACATCTTAAGCGTTATCTTATCGCTCACGCTTTATTTTTTTTTATCAAAAGATTCACCATATTCTTCTGCACAAATTGCATATTTCGTTGTAAAAATACTTATCTCCTTCTCTTTCGACATCACCACGATTTAAAAACAGCACTACACACAACTTTCAGAATCTCTATTTTTTTCAATTTTTTCCAAAAACATCCAGTCCTTAGATTAGTCTTATTATGATTGGTCGTTCCATATTCTTTATCCAGAAATAAAATAAATTGCCTTTGGTACGTTGATTGAAATGAACCAATTTGTCTCTGGAGTGGCGAACAAATTATACCCAAACTAATAAGATTAATTGAGAAACTAGACATTTTGGAAAAAAATTGAAAAAATGAAGACTTTGAAAGTTGTGTGTAATGCTTGTTTTAAATCATGATGATGTTGAAAGAGAGATAAGTGTATTTTACAGCAAAATATACCAATTTCTGCAGAATCAGACGGTGAATCGTTTGATAAAAAAGTAAAGCATGAGCGATGAGATAACGCTTAAGATGTTAGCAAAATACTGAGGCTCTCTTTTATTATGAGCTACCCGTTAGTTTTAAATTTTAGTTTCAGTATACTAATCACTCGTGTTGCATGGCATCACAAAACGCAACTAATTAACAAATAGACAGAATCATTGAACATGTTTTCTTTTTAACGAGTATTCTTCATCTGATTTAAGAGCTTTTGACAAATCTTTTTTACCTAATAAATATTTATCCATTACAGTATATGATAAGGAGAAATTCAAAATAATTGTTGATTAAATCATAGCATTTGAATTTTTTTTGTTTCTTATTGTTCATAGGATAAGCAACATTAGCTTTTTATTAGCAATGTTCGGAAAATTGTTGAGGACGAACGATAAATGTTAGTTGAGACGGATCAAATTTCTATTCTTTTAAAGATTATTAATATTCGACGACTTTGAACCGTTCTCTGTTGAAGATAACTCTATTCAATTTCTGCTTTCTGGTTTAGCTCCTGACGACATAATTATTAAATCAGCAACTACCACTGCTTTGTAAATACCTTCTTTGCTAGTCGAGCTGTCGTTAATATCCAGAGCTGTTTTTTCTATTTTTTTCCTCTCACTGATCATATTAATTATTCATGTTCATTGAGTAAACAAACGAAAGAATATATATGTTGATGTATATGAATTACATGAATAATTAAAATGCTATAGAAAGCCAAAGGTAAAGAATTGATTTAAAGCCAAATATGTGGGTTGGTAGCTGTTTGTAGTCAGTAGAAAATAAAAATCATCTGTACCAAATAGAAAGAATTAGAATGGCACAAAAATATCAGTAGTTTTTGATACAGTTTTTTTTAGTAATTATGGGAACGAAGGTATTTCAGGTGAAAAATGTTGATTGAAATGATAAATGACGCCGTATCAAAAAAAGCAGAAACGACAGAAAAAAAACAGAAAAAACTTCAAAAAGCAGAATTTTTCTGCTAAAAGCAGACGAGGTGGCAGCTCTGAGATATATTTCCAAATCACATTAGATATGACACTTATGTCAGTATAAGATTCTAGGGGGCTAGAACTTTTATTATGTATATATTACATTTTACGAATAATTTTTCTTTTGACACAGAAATAATCGCTGTAGGACTGACTGGACATGAATTCTTAGTATGCTTTTTTTATGTGCATACCTTTTATACAATAGAAACTTCATCTGCTTATTCTCAAAAAAATATTTTAAGAAGTAGTTTTTTAAATACTTTCTTAAGTTTGTATTTAATACGATGAAAACCTCAACAAATGGATTTATGTTCAAAATCAAATTGAAACTTAACAATGGAGAGTTCATTCCTCAAATACGTATAGATTTCAAATGTTATATACATTTTCTATTCTCTATAAATCAAACAAGACATAGCTACAATAATCACGTACTTTATTCTAAACAAAAGAAAATAATTTTACTTCACATACACTCATGGAGACATTATTCATAATGGCAGGTAAATGCAACTTTTCGTATCGAGAAATAGATCTCTATCTCGAATGATATGCACTGTAGTGTTTTAATTATGACAAATCACTCACACTTCAAAACTTCGAGCACAGTAGTTTGTCTAAATGCATGCCGCTATATTCCGCGCATACACTCTCAAACTTTAAAACATTTAATTAGACAAGCTGCTTCAAGCGTCTATGCTGCATTCATCCGCTAGAACGTCTAAAATCAGTCATTCGTTGATTTTCGCATGTTTAAATGGGGCGGTTGATGTGTCTTTTTTGAGATTGCTAGTCGTCTTTATTAGACATTTTATGTGTAAACGAATGATCGGTTTTCAATCCGCAAGCAAACTATACGCAAAACATACACTTGAAGCGCCTATCAAGGCGCTTAGCAATGCTTAGAATATGTTTATTAGATAAATGGATATTTTCAGATCCTACGAATCTTTTCTTAGAATTAGGCCACTGTTGCAATATGCAGCTGTTCATATATTCTTATCGACTGTGTGTTGATATATGTGGATATTAGCGCTGCTGTTCATTAACTGATTAGTGAAGACTTATTGTTATCCCATGACACTGGTTCACCTGTCTATCAAAACTGAAAAGAATAAATAGCTTAGCGAACAGGTTCATATCTGTTTCTTTATTCGCAATAAATGGCAACTGATACTGGAGACTGCTTCAAAATCAGTTATTTAAATCTTCTTTCAGACTGATGTAAGACCTATATGAAAATGAAGCTCATGTGGTCTCTTTTTTTTTAATTTCATAGAAAAAATTCAGAAGAGTCAAAAAAGGTACGAGAAATTTGTTTCAAAATTCCACATCTAACTTGTACAAATGGAAGTATTAGAATATCACACGGCTAGATTATTAACAGAAATCTTAAACAGAGAAAGTTGTTTTCTTCTTTTTATAGGTTTATAAAGCAGCAAAAAACAGTGATTCTAATCTTCGAAAACATTTATCATCATCTCATCAAATTTCAAATGTACTATATAAATCTCAAATCAATGGTCATTCAAAATCTATTTCAACAACAATATCATCTGATCGAAAAGATGAATTACATAATGCAGCTATTAATTGTGTAATTGAAGATGGTCTTCCATTTGATACATTTGGACGACCAGGCATGTCTAAATTTTTATCAACTGCTGTACCTGGTTACGTGGGTCCAAATCGTAAGACTGTTCGTAAACAAATAGCAACATCATATTCTTTATATACGAAAAAACTTCGTGCTTTGATGCCTAAACTTGATTTTATTGCACTTACTTCTGACTTATGGAAAAGCTCCAACCAAGTTCATTTTATTTCATTAACTGCTCATACATTTACTCATCATTACGAACATGTATCAATAGTTCTTGGTTTTCGTCGCATTATTGGACCACATTCATCAACATTAATTGAAAATTATATTCAATATGAACTTGATCGACTTGGCATACAGCCACAACAAATCATAAGTATTACAACTGATAACGGCAGCAATATGAAAAAAGCTGCAGCAACACTTAGATTTGGCAATCCAATCAGCTGTATGGCACATAATTTAAATCTAGTTGTTAGTAAAGGTCTTTGTCTTTGGTCTGAACCAAAACAAGATAAGTAAGTATGTTTTGTATCTATTAAGTCGAAAACAGTTCTTTTCTCGAACGTTTTGTATGTGCTTATTAACTAATAAGATGAAAATGACTTGTTTCTAACTAGTAGCAAAACTCATAACTATTTTAGCTATATGTTGATAGTTCGTAAAAATAAAGTTAATATTGATAATTTCAAAGGGATGTTGCATAACCATTCCTGTATTACTGATTACTCGATTACTTTTCATTGATTGTAACTTATTACTAATTATTAGTCATGTCTGTTTTTATTTTCTTTCTTTCCAAGTATCGTTAGCGTTAATAATCATAAAAATTACTTCCGCTACTTGATACTTTTTTTACTTGGAAAAGTTATTACTTCATCGCTAGTAACGGTACCGTAACACTTTCATTATTTCAAAGCCTCTGTTAACTCATAAAGGCTAAAAATGACTCAGCACACGAATCGCGAACTAACCCGTGATATAAACTTATCAGTTTACGCACTGTAGTCGATTTATTTTTAATACTGATGATGCTCGATGTAATCAACTAGATGATTAATATTAGTCGTCATCTTGTACACCGTTTAAAGTTCTACACTTCAAGCAGTATTTGTATCGTGAATCTTTGATTTCACAAAAAAAGAGTTTCAGCAAAAAAGTTTAACTTTTAATCAGGTTTTAATCAGCAAAGATACCTATGAGCATAGTTGATTTACTGAAAAAATAATTTTAGAATTCAATACCATTTTATTTAACACCTCCTTCTTCGACTAACTGTCAAATCTTAAGCTAGTAGATATTTAAAATCTGTGTGTCGAAATCGCACAAGTCTCTCTGTTAATGAACAAAGTTCATCAATTTTTTGCAAAATACTGAATTCAAAAATAACTTCCGAGTAACGATCGGCAACTGAACTCGTCTAAATTAGTGCAA